GGGGGGGGGCAAGGCAGGCTGGCAGCAGGAGGCAGCAAAGTTGGTCAGAGTGATGCGGTCTTAGGCACCAGGAGAGGGATAGCTCAGTCTCAGGGGCAGAAGTGGGCAAAACCAACGCCTAAGGGCTTCAGCTATGGATGGGAAACCAACACGGGTGGGGGAGGGGGGGCGGGAAAGTGTGGAGGACAGGCTGATCAGGCTGCAGAGCCCAGGGTTTCAGAGTCCAGTCCTCTTTTGTGGTATTCAGCTCAAAACTTTTGTTGGCACAAAGTTTTGATTTACACTTCGGTTAAAAAAAGAAAGAAAGAAAGAAAGAAAGAAAGAAAGAAAGAAAGAAAGAAAGAAAGAAAAGAAAAAAGGAAAAAGAAAGATCCGGCCATTTGCCATTTCCTAACTCTCTGCCTTGTTCCATGGATGATCAAGGTGGTTTACCAAATACAAATGACTAGGCTATAAGCTCCCCGGCAGCAGAGGACCATTGTAGGACTTCTCTCCCACAACATCCGGGCCCAGATCAGGGACTGGCATCCGGCCAGGGCTTAAAAATGTGGCTCATTTGAATGAACAAAAGGGCAACAGAATGGTGATTGCCAAGAGGGAGAGAGTGAAGGGGGGAAAGAGCTGGGAACGCGCCTGTGTGTGAGAGAGTCTAGTGGGGAGGCGCAGGGCATGACGCTCCCACGCCACAGCACAGGAATCGGGCACTTGTGCCAGGAGAGTGAAGTCCCTGGACCCCACCCTGCACCAATGACAGCGCTGGTTTCAAAGGAATCTGTAGCAGAACAAGCTGGAGCACACTTATAATCCTGGCCCTGGAGAGAAGGACTGAGGAGGAGGATCAAAAAAGCTCAAGGCCAACTTGGGCTACGTGAAACTCTATTTTCAAAAAGAAGAACAGACTGTCCTTTGGTAAAAGCAGTACCAGGGAAAAGAAAAGACAGGTAGTATTATCTTTTAAGAGAAAAATGTAAAGTCACAGAAAGAATGATGGTATATTGCTGTGGAATCACATTCGAGATTTATTGTTAAATCTGACAACACAGGACTCATAGTGGGGCATGCCTGTAATCTTAGTCACTCTGGGGCCTGATTCAGGAGGATCGCTTCTGACTAGGAGCTCAAGGCCAGCTGAGGCAATATAGCCAGGCATGATTGTACCCAAAGAAAAGAAAAGCACTGGGCGGTGATGCACACCTTTAATCCCAGCACTCGGGAGGCAGAGGCAGGTGGATCTCTGTGAGTTTGAGGCCAACCTGGTCTCCAAGAGTTAGTTCCAGGACAGGCTCTAAAACTACAGCGAAACCCTGTCTCGAAAAAACAAAAAAAAAAAAAAAAAAGAAAGAAAGATCCTGCCTCAAAAACCAAAAGAACCAGGGCTGTAGAGACAGCTCAGCAGTTAAAAGCTCCGGCTGCTCTTCCAGAGGTTCTGAGTTCAATTCCCAGCAACCACAAGATGGCTTACGACCACCTGTAGTGGGATTTGATGCTGTCTTCTGAC